TTCTTCAAATTTTTTTTTTCATTAGTTTTTATTCCTTTTCTTAGTTCCTAGGTAAGGCACAGTTCTTTTCGGGAGAGGACTATTAAAAAACTCAGAAACCTATGCATTTATAATAGTGTGATCATCTTTAGCGTTAATTACGGATCACGGATTGCAATACGGATCTTCTTCATAACTCTTGGATTTAAACATAAATTATTTAGAGATATATATTAGGTAAGTGAGGTCGTCTTCTCTCTCAATAGATGGGTTATCATGGCAAGTTTCATTCTCATTAAAGTCTTAATATCACAAGGTACTAAATAAACGATAGCGTTAGATGTTAAGCAACCAGTATCGGGTGAGACCTGTTAAATAATTCTGCTACCAATCAAATCAGTAGTCAGAAGTAAGTTTTCAGTAAATTTTATTAAAAAAAATTAATAAATTAAATTATAAATTAATTAGAAAATTCAAAAAAAAAATGATTTTAAAATTTTTTTAAAAATTAAAATAAAAATCATCTCATTAAATACTTATGGTGCTTTAATAAAGAGTATAGTTCATCGAATTATTTCGAGGGTCGAAATTTAGTCTATCAAATAATCCCCTTAGCTATTTACCTGTAGCTGACATTTTATTAAAAAAGCGATCATCTGTCGCATTAAATGTGTGGGTAGTGTGGATTTTTACCTGGGTGGACATTTATTTTTTTTTATAACTCCTAGGTTCAAATATGCAACATTTGAAATCAAATTTTGGAAAAGTATACTAACTATCTTCGTTAAATAAATTTTTAGTAATACTTAGTTCAATAATTTTGAAACTATATTGTTCTGCAGTGTTGTAAGCATTTAAATATCTAAAGTCATACTTAGTTTGAATCAGTGATCAGTTCAAGCAGCATTAGAGTTGCTCAATGGATATACTATTGATTAAATCAGTTATTTGAGCAAGTCACTTGAATAGCGACATAATAAATTATAGATATTAAGATTTTTAAAGATATATGTAAATTTTTTAACGAATGTAAGAAAGTGTCTATAAAATCTACTGTACATTTATTTTTATTAATTTTAATATTAACACTTATTTCATTTATTTTTCTTGGCTTCGCTGACAACAGCTTAAGTTCGTTTCGTTTTTTGAAGACGTCGTTACCATTTTCGAGCATTTTCAATGCTCTTGTCCTGTACTCTAAAGACTCAGACTTGAATTTTTCGAGTCTGATGTCGTAAGCAAATAAATATCAGCTTTATATATTTTCGAAAGGGTTCTTCGTTTCCTTACTAGTAAACGAAAATGTTTGTAAGATATCGGTATGGTACTCATTATAGAGTGGACCTTCTTAAAGTTCTTCTTCGTAGGTGAAAGTCTCATTATTGCTCTTCACCTATGAAATTGAAAATGAAAACTACAAAAGGAATTCTTTTTCTTAGACTTTTATTAGAGAAAATTTTTTTTACATTTTTAGTAAAAATTGAGTTATTCACTTATTCAACGAAAAAAAAAAGTTCTCTTTAAGGCAATCGTTTTCTGTTATTACTTTTCGGTTTGCTTATTTTCGGGGATCAACATTCAAATGCATAAAATATATTTTTATTTTGAGAAATCTTTTAAATTCGTTGAATAAAAAATAATAGACAAAAATATAATATTATAACTTTATAGAATTTGACGGGCGGGGGTTGATGTTCAGTGACATAAATGGGACTGAAACCTTTTCGCCTGCTGTGCGTTAACAGCAATAATTCATTTACGATATTACATTCGCGGTACTCGAACTTGCGTCCTGCAGTGCCTGTTGAACTAGGAAAATAGCTCACGGTGTGCAGAGAGAACATTTATACGACCATTCTACCAAAGAAGCTACGCCACACCTGCCGCAGTAACCACACCTGCTACTATGGAAAATTTGCATAAAATTCCGCCTTGAAACGACAAAAAAGTGAGGATTTTTGTTGGTGAATATTTGAGTGGCAAGATAAATACCAACGTTGCTGTATTTGTGCATAATTTATGCGCTTTTGTATTCCTTTTGCACTCTTTTTATCCTTTTTAGAGCAGTTTCATTGCTGATTTAGGACGGCGTGCATACTTTTTTCCTCTCCATACAGCAAACCGCACAAACAAACGTGAATATCTTCGCAGTTGTACTGGAAGTTACATGTAAATACCTTTCCTGTTGAAGAGTTAGGAGAGGAGATACTTTTTATGAACTCACCAATTAATCCAACTTGGTTCCTTTTACAATTTTTAAAACAATAGTGTGTCAATGAATAATTTAAAAAATGAAATAAAATATCTATCTCAGTAGTCTCAGTAGTGGGTGTGAGGAAAAACCTTTGCTCAACGCGCCCATATCGTTGGAAACGCATTTTCATCTATTCAACGAATTACTCCAAGCAAAAATACATAAATTGATTGAATTTAATATATCAGAAAATGTTTCTTCTCAGCCCGTATTAGGCTGCTGCGAATTTCTTGCTTGTATCTATGGCAAATGTGAAAAATGCAAAGTTGCGTGGATACAGGTAACATTTTGTACTATCATATTTCAATTTAATAAATAAATTCTGAAACAAATTGCATGCGAACAGCGCCAACATAAATTCGAGTGCACATGTGCCAGGACGCAAGTATATCCAGTGCTACCTTCCCAGTGCGAAGACTCTACATCGGAAAGGTAGGAAATTCAAATAAATCGAACCTGTCTGTAGAAAGAATAAGAGCAGAGATAAGATGTATATGCAATATTTTTTATTTAATTTATGATAATTTAAGCAAATTAAGACTTTATTATAAATTCTTGCTGTTTTTACCATTCCTACTATTACCATTCCATTCCTTACAACATCCTTTTCGAGAAGTTTATTCTGCGCGTCATAATTGGCTAAACACTTGTTCCTTAATTCACAAAATGGCAAAGCTCCTGGTTTCGACAAGTTTGAGAGCTGCGCACCTCTGCGTAATACTACTCCTTTTACCTCATTTGAAATTCAAAAATTCGTTTCTTATGTAAAGTAACCAAGTTGCGAAATTTTCTTTTGCGTTTTCCGTGCTTCAATTTTGATATTTTAAGATTTTCCGAGGTTGAACAAAATTTTTAATTGGTAAATTATACCACATAGACGTTAACTTTAATGCTTCTTCCAGCTTGCATATACCTTCTGCCATTCACTGGTCTATGATTTCTTTCCATTTTCAGCTCTTTAAGTCACTAAGTCGCATTGCTTCCACCAGAAACGGTTCCTCTATTTGAAATTTCTTGGTAGAAAGAAATTTATTCTCTATCAGCAGAACCTGCGGAATTGTAGTGTTTCCATTAAAGATTTTTATCACAGCCTAATAATTTTTAATTCTACTTAAGATCCTTTTTAATGTAAATTCCTAAGGAGTTACAAGTAATAATTTCAAAACTAAGTCTTGTTGAGCAACAAACTAACTATATCTGCAATACGAAGCACTCTTTATTAAGGTAAACGCAAATAAATGCGGTATGGAACGAGATCGTACCATACCGCTACACTTCTATTCAACCAAATACTTGCCAGCAGTGCGAAAAGTAAATAGGCACGTTTATTGACTTTTCAGGTCAGATTACTTTTACTGAAGTCAGTGGAGTGATGGCAAACTTTTTTGACTTTGTCTATGTGTAGATCGTTTTGTTATTCTATTCGTCTTTGTGGGTGTTATGCTTGGTCGGATATATAAGCAAGCTTTTAATTTGTGACATCACAACGGTGTCGCCACTCTAACCTATCCTAATCTTAATTTACTTAACCTTACCTAACGCAGGTATTATATATATAACTCGTGCAAGTTCTAAAGTTAAGAATTTACACAATTCCTATACATTAGTATAAATCTTTAAATTATTCATAAAAAATCTATTAAATTACCTAACATCTATGGGATAAATATATGGTATATCTCTATAGATTTCCTTCAATGAATGTTATATTAAAATGACAAATAGAGTCAAATTTCATTAAGGGGAAGGAATCTTATCTGTCAATAACCATAAGATCTTTGGAAGAGAGCCACTTCATCTAAGTCATTGCTTTAATAAGCATGGTTATTAGATATATCGTTTCATAAAATGGTTTTCTGATGATATGGTAGATATATTTATTTAAAACATCGTTAATTGGAAAATACGATTTTAATTAGTTAGTTACTTGGTCATAACAGACGTAAGTTGTTCTTGGTAGCGTGTTATAGCTTTCTTCAGCCAGCACGATCTTTCTAACATCAGTCGGTATTACCAATTGCCCCCATATTGTTGGTCACCTGGTGCTTTCACCAGAAGTGTGGACGTGCCTTACAACATTTTTCACCTGTGGGTATCTAATCAAACACCTTTCTAGCAGGAACACTTTGATCTTTCGAAGATTTCGTTAAATCTGTAGGTTGACGTTATTTTTGGTGTTTGCACTGGTTTCCAAATAATCAGAGTCTTAATCAACTTCAGCACTACATCATCAACCCAGCGAAGTCACTGAATTTAAATGTGCTTATCGCCTTCTCATCACTGTTGGTTATTGTTGGTCAAGCTTTTTAACAATACAGTAGGACTAGGATAAGGGACTTGTACAGAGTGATTTATTTCTATTAAAAACGATTTTAGTTAGGTTTATTTATTAATACTGTGCAATTGTAGTTATTTGTTTTACATATTAATTATATTTCGCTAAACGGTTAAAATCTTTGAATTGCTCTGCTAAGTCCATACTTATCTTTCTTTGGATACCATCTTATGGGTTAATAATTTTTACTTCTTATCAAGTTTTAAGCAAATTATTTAACATATATAATTATTTCTTTTAATCTCTTGGATAATATGGCAGCACTGTCCAAATTCTTTAGAACCAATTAAGTATTTAAGGAAAACATAACACCAGTAAGAGAAACCAATAACATTTATTTATAAAACATAATACGAGTATCAAATAAAAAGTAAAAAATATCCGTTATAATTATAGTCTTTTAATTGAAAAATATATTATATAGTCCTGTACTATATGCATAAAATCAAAAAAAAAATTGTGAAATAAAAATGATTCCATTCTTTTGCTGTTAAGGAAGATATTATTTGTTATGACTTTTGCTGTTATTTACAATGAGTGGTGAAGTGAAGATGGAGTTCCGTAGAAAGATTATATATTGTATGAGTTCATATTTTTCTTCAGAATACTTCTTTACTCAACGCAAGAGAATCTTTTTTGTTGCCAGCTTCTCTCAGCATTGTTTGACTCTTGCTAATGGCTTCAATAATTTCCGTTAAGGATTTTCGTTTCTCCAGCGGCATATTAGAACGTAATGGCGCGAGGGAGGATTCTTTCCATTCAAGTTGAGATGTTGATTTTGCGAATAATTTGGCTTTGAATTCTTCGTTTGTTAGTCCACTGCGTAAACATACGTGTCGTGATGATGTCTTTGGAGTTTCCACAGCTCTTAAATTATTCAATTTCAATTTATAGTTCTCTAGGTCGATATTTATCAGTGGTTCCATTACGGCAACTTCTAAATTTTTCTTCTCATCTTCTCTTTTCTTTTCACATACAGTTTTGTATTTGGAATTGTAAAACGAGATCTGCGGAATTAAGTTATTTTCATTTACAATATTTTCTACTTGAGGAAACTCTGCTGACCGTTTAAAACTTTTTTTTACTGAATATACATCGCACTCATGTGAGCTAATCTCACCTTCGAGATCGTTAAAGTCTAACTCTGATGGTGGTTCAAATGGTCCTTGTGACAAATAATCACGTACTACATCTTTTGATATCGAAGGTGTATTTCTTAATAAATTTTCTCTAGTTAATTTAAGTCTATATTTGGGATTAGTTTCGACATTGTTTTGAGCTGATGACGATGATGAGATGTTTTCACGGTTTTTCTTTCTGGTTTTAGTTCTAACTTTTTTCCGTGGCTTCTTCACTGATGATATAACATTACTTGGCTGGTGTTTTACCTCTTCTGGTTTTTGATTGGGCTTTTTAAAAACATGTATATGTATACACTCCATGAACCCATTATCATCAATTTTCTGCTCGTTACAGATATCGGCTTCAGGTATTTCATTAAGTTTATTTTCGACACTTGAGTTTGAAAGTTTATTTTGAAAATTGATTAACCAAGGTTGGGAGCAGGAGTCTGAGCTTGCACTAGCATTTTTGTAATATTCGATTTGTTTCGAAAAATTATCGACATTTATGTATGAACTATCATATTTTATTGAAAAATCAGCAACCTACAAGTGAAAGGTGTAGTACGTATATTCCAACAGATTTTAAAACAGTTTTAAATTAATAAATATTTAGTATTTACTTGATTAATATTTTATATTATAGGCGGATGAACTTACTGGCGTCTGTTCACAAGTTGAAGGATACGTTAAGCTCGGTACTGAAGTTGTCAATTTTTCGAAAAACCGTTTTTCATTTATAATGTTATTTAGTTCAAACTGCTCGAAATTCATCGGTGGTCTATTTAATCCATTTCCAAATTAGGGATGAAAACCAAATAAATTGTGGGGAATTAAAAATGTTTTGTTTTATTTTTACAAAGCAAAAAGTTACTTATTACCAAAAATAAAAAAAATATATACTACGATATACTGAAAATAATTTTAATAGAGACAGGAAATTTTAAAATTAAATCAATCAAACTGCACTTTTTGATAATAAATAAAAAAGCTATTTAAAAAATAAATTACTAATTTTTTAGTTGAATAAAGAAAATTTGAAAAAAAATTAAAGTGATTTTTAATCAACACCAACAATAATATATAGATTGATAACTTAGTCCATATAGTACAACCTAAAATTGTTTATTCTACTATTTAAAGAGGAAGTACTGCTGTTAATTACATGCTGCATCATTTGCAATTCTTATAGACGTACCTGATAATATGTCTTTTCTCGGGCCTTGGTTTTGGTGATTGATATCGATCGGTTGTTATTTCACTTCTTCCTGGAGTCCACACATTACCGCAGAATTTGCAATGGCATCGACAATTAGCTGCTTTTGAGTCGTTCTATAAAAAACCACATTCAGATACTGATTGTCTCTAAGATTAGCTAAAATTTTTTTTTTTTAAATAATATCTTTCGTAAATAACAAAACTTCATTATCCAGCTATAATCAAAAATATAGATTTATTTGTTTAAAATCGGTATCAATTAAAGAAAAGTTCGAGTTATTATTATTTAGTTAACAGAAGACCCGAAATTATTATTCATAAAAAACATATATATTCTTTGAAAAAATATATAATAAAAGTTACTTGTACAATTATCCGCAAGTTTTCCAAAGACGATCCAAAATTCGCTTTATATGCTGAGTTATTGCATTCAGAAAGCGTTTTGTGGAAGTTTTTATGTATACTACCCAATTTAATTTCTGTTTTGTTAGAATTAGTATTTCGTACAGAGAGGTTTAGTGGATTTCTAAGTGGCATGTTGTCATCCGCCGTTGAAAATTTGAAAGACGAAGTCTTTGTTGTATTAATGCTACTCAGGGTAGTTAGTGTTTCGTTTCGGCTTTGGCACTCCGATGTGTTCTTTAGTATATTATTATCGAGTAATACCGAAGATTGTCGATATCCGTTCGAAGTTTCAGTTCTATTGCTCATTTGTGATGGATTATCCAATTTTCCTTGAATTTCTAAGGATGATGATTTTTTTTGAGTAGGTGTTTCTGGTGGACTTTCTGACGTTCTGTTGACCCCTAATGATGATGATTTTCTATTTTGATTGGAAAACCGTGCACTAAAAATCAAACAAAAATTTCGGTAACCTTTAATTAAACATGTCTTTAATAATCAAAGAACTTAATTGTGACTTAGTGGGCTTAGTAACTGTTTGCACCTTTACTCCTTTCCTTGGGTGCACTCCAATTGCTCGACATTTCAAAAACATTTCAATCTACATAATTTTTAAAGTGAAATCTTTTCGGTGAAAACTATCGGCAAAAGTTGACAACTTGTAACTTGCATGTATTTTGTGATGGTTAACTTATATAGAGAGAACTTTATATTTTTTGCCTAGGTCAGGTTGTGTTACGTTAGGTTAGGTTGTGCCGGCGATCCAAAAGTATCCACTTAGGCCGATGGTCCCATTGTGTTATTGTATAAGGGGAAATTTCAAGGATATTTAACAATATTTTCCTTGACGTTTTTAAATAAAAATCGTTTAACAATCATTAAACGTGTAAAAATTATGAAAATTTACTACAAAAGTGGTGCCCCAGTAAATAAATTTCATAGATAAGAAAGAGATTATGTATCCATAACAGATTTTCACAGAACTTGATGCTATCAGAAAGCACACTCGGTTGAAAATACTAGTACTGTTAATGGAAATGACGAAGAAGATCTAAATTTACCTTTCATATTACACAGAATGTAATCTATAATCTAGAATTGTAGATCAGAAATGCGAATTTTTTATTAAAATAGAATTACCGAATCATTTGTGCTTTGCTTTAAATATAATCTCGAAATTAATAGTGTTCTCTCATCTTACCAAATAGATTTCAATCCATTTGTAAATGAATTGTTCCTGTTCTTCTCAGCAATGCCATTTTTATTCATTTTCCAAAACCGTAAACGTCTATGCTGATCATCTTTATAGAATGGATTCAAATGTTCTGGATAGTTATAAATCGTTATTTCATTTGTTCGTCGGCCATTTTTTTTGGCATTTGATTGCTCCACATTATCAGTCATTATCACTCATTAGATTAGATCGCTTAGAAGATTTTCTTGATTAGATTAAACTTTTTGTGTGCTTGGAAAAAAGAAATGCGTTTATATCTTCAAATACTGTTTGAGATTTTCCATAAAATTGACCCAATAATTAAATATAAGTAGCAAGATATTTTAAATTCCAACAAGAGATATACACATAAAAAATATCTTATTATTTAATATGAAAAAATTAATTAAAAATCAAAATGTGATTTATAATTCTTGGTTGCTTGATTTCTTTTGTTTTGAATTTTTTAAGACAAAATACATCTTCATTAAACCGGATCTAATATTGGGAGTTAACATAAAAAATATGTAAAGAACTTTATTACAAAAATTAGTTAAAATCAGTTATAGTATTATAGTATAGTATATCTATAGTATATATAGAGCTTATAGTATTGTATTAGTTTATTATAAGTGATTTTATATAAAAATATTTATATTTATTTGTAACTGTTTGCAATATACTAAGTTCAATTCAAAAGTATTTGTACAGACTGATCATTCTATATTATTGAACGTTGATTGATTGACGTATGTGTGTCATACATTTAAGATTGATTACTCGAAATGCATTTCCTATCTATAATGAAGTGCTTAAAATATATTTCATTATCTAAAAGAACTTTTAAAATACCCAATTTTATTTCTATTCTTAAAAATTAGAACTTAAGAATAGTGCATTTCATCAATTTTGATCAGGGTGTTCACATTGAAATCCTGTGGTACTTTTAGTAGAAAGTTTTTTATTGAATTTCGTGAAGTCATATATATTTGTCCATTGTAGAATCTATCCTTGAACGCCATTTTAATATTTTACGATTGAGTTCCATTTTAATCGATCAATTCGATTAAAATGATTCGAAAGTAGTGTGTTTTGCCCCAGATACAAATTATTTGGAGCCGCTATGCGACTTTTTTGGAAGTCGCGTATTAACTTGTTAAAACTCTAAAATGACACAATCTAATACTGCTACAAGGCTACACTGAAACAGCTGTTTAACAATGAAAATATCGATGGTTTAGTTAAACTACAAAATATTGGGTGGTCTGTTCATGAAATTCGTGATTTTGAAGGCAACATACCATAATGAGTTCTTGAACTTGAAAGCAAGTTGGCTATACATACTTTCAGGCAGGTAAACTGCCTTAAAGGACGCATTTTAATTGCTAAACATCTCTAAATGAAGTTCAACATTTCCCTAATTTACGTTTCCGCTCATTAGACGGAGTGGTTTTGGAAAACCTAAAGAATCTGGTTATGTCGTTGCCAACCTGCAAATTTTTCTTGAATTCTTTTTGTGCTGAATCATTTAATGAACGATGGGAAAACCATACGATATGCGGGCAAGTTTTAATTATTAAATAAAACACAATGCTTAGCTTAGATGTTTAGTTTATTAACTTCATTAACTAAATCTTAAGACTAACTAAGAATTATAATATAAAGTTCTTTATTAGCGATTGCAACCAATAATGTAGACGCTGATATAGCATATTTCACCAAAAATTAGTTCCCACGAAGAATTTTGTTACGACACCAAATTTGCTTTACAAAAAAATATGAATCGGATTATATCTGAAACAGAACCACGATTTATATTTCTTTAGTATAGACTCTAAAGGATGGAATGTCGTAACAGGCATCTGTATGCTAGTTGACCGTCTTCTTTTAAGAAAAATTTCAGTACTTTTCTTGACATATATACTCCGTATGGACATAAGTCTTGTGCTGGGTTTAGTCATGGGTTAGAATCGATTAAGAACCCGTGATAGAAGATTGAATCTCCCATTTAATCATTTCTCTCATAGTTGTGAAGTGGATCATGAAAGTGCTTTACATCTGCTTTGTGACTGTGCTTTACATCTGCTTTGTGACTGTTTCTGCGACTTTAGTAGCTTCCTGTTTTGGAGATCTTGCCCAGTCACAAGGCCTCTCTCTAAATAGCATTTTTATTTTTTCTGAATGTTCAAAGTTATTTTTAAGCCTCCGAGGACTCTCGAGTAACATAATAACCTAATAGATAACCTCAATAAAAACTGTGTATGTAAATGGGGATTCATCATATTAGATTGAGAAATTGTGCAAGGTTTACTTTGGGCACACTGGACCACTATTTACTGTAATATAAGAAAAGACGAATACTTAGGAAAATACGCAAGAATATCAATTCAATCGATGTCATTGTAAGGTCATCCGACCAAGCCATGTTTTATGATCAAATGAAAAACGGCAAGACGTCATTGTCTTTAAAATCCCGACGTCACATACTCCTTAGCGCTTATGAAGTTTTTTTCTGTTTTCTTAGACTTTTTTTAAGACTTTTGTTTTTATTTTTTTTTTCATTGCCAAACAAAGTCGCAACAATTTTTGTTTGTCTTTCCTTACCTTTGCTTTAATCGCTGCGTTGAATGCATGTTGTTGTTTTTTGTTGTGTTTTGATGTTAAGACGGCTTAAGTTGATGATAAAGTGTTGCTTGTCAAAGACTTCGGCGTTTAAATCGTCTTTGATGCGTTTGACAAATACGTTTGCACTAACAAAACGAAATGAAGGGCAGAGACTAAAGGTGGCGAAAAAAAGTAAATTAAATTAAAGGCTTTTGTGATAGCATTTGTAGCGTGTGGTATGTTCGTGTGTATGTATATGTGTGTGTGTGTGTGGGAATGTAGAAGAAGTCATTTACATTACGCACGAACACACATGTGCAGTTACCTTACTTTTCTTTTCTTTTACTCTACTTACGCTATTTACGCTTGGCTGTGATTGCAAGGCACTCATTTATTTATTGTTGTTGTTGTTGTTATTGTTGTTGTTTTTGTTACTTCGTGTTGCTGCTGTTAATGTTGCTATGTTGTGTTTTATTCTCACCAAAGCATTAAATAAACGTGTTGAAACAGCATTTTTCTTCTCAATACAAGAAGTTCTCACTTTTTGTGCCTCGATGTAATAAAAAATTAAGAAGAACAAAAAAAAAAAATAATAATAATAAAAAATTTTAAAAAAATTCTGGGGAATGCTTTGCCAGGCTTTGCGTAGCTTTGCCACTTAAGTTTTGCTTTTCTGTTATGATTTTATTTTATTTTCCTTTTAGTTTGTTATGTTTTTATAACTTTCGTTAAGCTGTCGTTGCAGCCCCTCTCGTTGTTGCCGCGGACCGTGGCTGCAGTTAAGCTGCTCATTTATTGTTATTACTTTGAAGTGGACTTAAATGTGGCACTTTATATATCTCAAAAGAGAAGTTAAAAAATTAACTTGATTTTAATTCTTAAGCAACTTCAAGTAGGTTGGCTTCGAATAGCTGAATACTTAATATTTGAATGGAACAGTTTTAAAAGAATTACAAACTTGGAATTCAGCCCACTCCAGAGTTTGAAAAACTCTGGAAAAGGAAATCATAAGTATTTAATTAGTGTTTCAAATTTCCTACCAGAATATTAGCTACACTTCACAAAATTAATCTAGAGCATACTATCTATCAGTTTTGGAGTAGCAAATTAAGAAGTTTCTATTAATAATTTATTTAGAAAAAAGTAGACTCTGACATAAGACAACTGGATTAAGCAGCTGTATCACACCAAGATGAAAGGCAAGATTAATTATCTGCAACATTAGTGGGGCCTGGATACAGGTCAGAGAGATAGACTATCAATCGCAGGTCAGAGAGATACACTATCAATCGCTGCATGGTCCAACTGGTATAGATAAAGGAGAAAATCACAATCGCGAAACAACGACTCCATATAAAGAAGAAAAAAAGAAAAAGAACTACTCGCTACATAGTCCAACTGTAAATTTAGAAGAAGGAAATTGCGAAACATCATCCCCATATAAAGTACAAATTAGTCCTTTTTTGCCAAGATAATGCACAATGGCCAAATCAAATTAAATTTAACTGAAAAGATTATTACCGGTTCATAGATCTATAAAAATGCTCTGTGGAAAAAGATTTGACTCCAATGAAAAAGTCAACAAGGAAACTGAGGCGTAAATCATTCTACAATGAGATTACGATGAATAAAATCGAATTTTGTCAAAAAGTCGTTATTTTATTGGTTATGCTATGGGCTTATCGTATCAATCGTAGTGTTAGTCAGGTTGGTGCCACACGATAAGGATAGAAAGTTTTACAGGTTGTAAATATTCTTTACTCTAAAACTAAAATAACGTGTTATTAATTAAATTGAATTGAGCGACGATCGATGGTAGATGTTTTAGCTAAGCACCACTGTTTAAGGTGTTGATTGAAGACGGAGCAAGTGCAAGTCTGACAAAATGCTGGTTGATTACTTTTGAGTTGATATGATTAAGTGAGCGCTATATAAGCTAGTTACAGATAGAGTAATGGCAGGTAAATGGCTGTAGTAGATAATAATTACCTGTTAATTACCTTAATTGATTAGAAATGACTAGACAAGCATGAGTCAGTTGTGTTTAATCAAGCCACAGAGAGATAAATGGCTGAACTAGTCTCGAAGAACTAGTTTCTATCAAATAAATAGCTTAAGTAGAGCTTTTTTAGCTGTTTGCATACTGGGTGCACTAAGAAGCAGTGGTCGTTAAGTGAATTTTAGTTTATTATTATAATTATTACATAAAGTTCCAATATTTATTCTTAAAAATTATATATACCTACATTGAAGTATACATCATTATGTACCAAATAAGTTATTCTTACTGGCAAATTAAATTTTGTTATTTCGCTAGAAATCAAAACATTAAATCCCTGTTTTGCTGCAAAGGTTTCCTCCAGTGAATGCGTTAAGAACAGCATTTTTATATGAAAAATCAAAATCAGTTACAATAATAATAAAGAATCGATTCTATGTGAGAATTAAAGGAATTTCATTCGGTCTTTATATATTAATGTTTCTATAATGTCTTCGCAGCAATAAAATGAAAGTTTACGGTGCAGAAAATATGAAATTGAATTGCTAGAAGTGAACTGCAGTGTACAAAGCAACCCAACAAACACAAATAAGTGCCTTAATGTGTATAGCAAAATAGGATGTCGTTTCCCAGCAATGGCGAGGTGCAACAGGCGCCAATACCCACCAACAATACGGGCAATGGCAGCAACATTCGTAGTAGAAGCAACAGTAACAGCAGCAACAGCAGCAATTCAAACCCAAAT